GGATCAGGCTGAGGCTATTTGGGGAAGGAGGAGGCCTCATTGGGGGAGCCCACTGCAATGTGGGGACTCCAGCATCAGAGAGGGTGTGGTATTTGGGGGTGAGCAGACCCCAACACCAGAGAGGGTGTGGTATTTGGGGATGAGCAGACCCCAGCATCAGAGAGGGTACAGGAGCCTAACTGAGTTCGTTGGGTTTTTTTGTTTTTTTATTTGAGAGCTACAGCCTTAGAGTCAAGCCCTGATTAGTGGGTTTTTGACTGACAGACCCCAGCTAGAGAGAGAAGGGGTAAGCCCACAGCGACCGAGACCCCACATAAACAGGAATTTATAAATACCATCTGCGAGGCTTGGGCTGCAGTGTAGGGGAGGAACAGAACTGCAGATAGTGCCCCCTGGCATCGGAGCAAGAAATGTGCAGCCTCCCACCTAATTAAGATCATTAATTAATCAACAACAAGGCATGGCAGAAGAGAAGGCGGGCAGTTAGCCCAGAACAGGTGGGTGGGGCTGTCAATAGATGGACCCCGAGCAGGCCCCTGCTACAATAAGGAACACGGATACTAAGATAAATATTAAAATAGCCAATAGGGTAGTATTATAGTCTCGCTGTGAAAAAACATGCCATAGCAGTGGCTACAAGTTGTCACAACTATTGCTTGTTTGATTGATTTTATTTTTTTTTTAATTTCTCTTTAAATAATGCCATCTCCAGCAGCATGTTGTCCTGGATGCTTGCAGAATGACTTGTTCCTCTCTGTTCTTTACTCAATGAGCATTTCTCACTGTCCCTTTTTGCACCTTCAGAGCACTCCTACCTAACAGATAAAAAAATTACTTATTCTAGACTGTGACAGCTTGGGGTCCCCAGGAATAGCTGTGATACCCCTCAGGCTATATGACCATGTCAATTCTGCCCTATGGGCACTCCTTTTCTTACCTGCCATATCTTGATGGTATACATAATAATTAGGGAGGCTGCCCTTGAGTTTCTAACTGGTTACAGTCCTGCTGGACCCTGCTAAATCCTGCAGGTTCTTGGACCCCCTACTGGGTCCAGCTTTAAGTTGGTGCCTCATAAGACACCCCAAGCCTTATAGGTTAGATGCGTGGCTCCAAAACCTCCCTAAACACTATTGAATCTAAACACTATTGATAAACTTGAGCATGAAAACTCTTTGTGGCAAGGGCCACTGTTTCCATTCTGTAGGTCTGTCTACAAAAAAGAACCTGGTTATTGTTTGGTGGTTTGATCATATAAGTAGATCCAGAAGATGGGAAAGATCTATCCAAGTACCCCAAACTCATGCTGCATCACTTTTTTTTTTTATCTCCAAGATGAAAGTATGCCCAATCGTTAATCAAGGACTGTAATACTTTTGGATTGACAAATTAGTAAGCATTGATATCCTAAACCATATACATGAATTTATTAGTGCACCATATTACCTGCTATGAATGGTTTAAATTCTGTCTAGGAAATGAAAGATCTTGCTTTCTAACAAACTTAAAGAGCTGAAAGTTGGCAGGATTCTTGTAGGCCATTTAAAATTAAAAGGCATCATTTTTCTTATTGCAAGTGATAGGACCCATCCACATTTTTCCCCATAGTATATCAAATATCAACTGAAAAAAAACTCTGAAGGTTTCCTACTTTCCAGATATAGAGCTTTTAAAATACTTTGTTTTTGTATTTTCTTTTGTTTACTTGTGACATTATATGCAAATATTCTATAAAGCTCAGGGACATGACAGCAATAATCAATCCAGAATTGAAAAAGATTATGAATTGTAGAAGACTTAACATAGTTGGTTAATTAGCTAAAAAATCTGACCTTAGTTACTACCAATTATTTGATCATTTCTAAACACAAAATTATATTGAATTACAAGGAAGCCATCAATATAGGCTTTGATGGTAGGTTGATATTTTCTATTATGTACTATATGAATATTGGTTAGAATCAACTAGGCATATCAATAGCATTGTTTAATTATAAATTTAAAAATAACATCATTTGGAGAGATCATTTTAAGAATACCTAAATGTGCTGATAAAGACTGAATATTGGAGGTTACCCTCTTCTGTTTCAGAGGGCCCCTCTACACATCCAGGTGGCAGGTGGCATGATTGGATCTAATGTATGATCCACACATTCAGCCTCCTGCCATGCCACATGTGCACTAGGGCTGTGCAAAGCTTCGGATCGCGATTCAGATTCGTAGATTATTCAGACAATTTGGAGGCCAAGTCTATGAACCAAAATCAAATCAGTAGAAGCTTTAGGCTTTCCAAATTGATTCAGAGCTTCTGAATCAATTTGGAAAAGATTCGAAGATTCGGCCATAGGGTATAATGGGGAATCAATGAAATATCTATAACTTTGTTGTTTTTTGGCTGATTTAAATGAACTTCATACAGGTGGTAGCTGCTGATGAGAGCATGAAGTTTTCCAAGTTTTAAGGTGATGGGTATAGGGACTTCTGGGAAACTGTACCTCAAATCCTGAAACCAAAACTTATGTCACATGTGTGTGTTAAGCCACAACGGGGTGAACATTGCAGAGATGGTAGCACTTGATGAGGCTACAAAGTCTGCCAAGTTTCAATGAGGTAGTGCAGGGGTTTCTGGGAAACTGCACCTCAAACTGCTCACCAGCAAAACTCATTACATAGGTGACACTTTGTGTGTGTTAAGGCACAGAGGAGTGAAAACTGCAGTGGTGGTAGCTCCTGCTGCAGCTACAAAGCATGCCAGTTGTCATGGAGATAGGTCAGGGGGAGTCTGGGTTCTGGGGCCCTGCACCTGTGGCCGCAGGCAGGCAAAACTCATGACACGGGTGCTTGTGGGACTGTGTGTGTGTTCAGGTGCGCCCTTCCTGGTGCTGGGGCCTCTGCACAACATGGCAGTGTGCCCCCGTGAGGCTTCCTCCTCCCTTACAGCCTTGGTCCAGTCCACCATTATAAATGACGGCAGGTCAAAATAACTTAGCTGACACAACACCAGTAGCACCAGCAGCAGCAAAGGTACCCAGACGGAACTGTCACAGAGCCTTTACTTCTTGCTGTCAATTCCTTTATAAAAAGAAAGATGTTGTGGTGGATATATGTTACTCATGGTATGTGATGGCTTATCTTGTGTTTTTATGTTTATTATGAAAAAAAATGAAATAGTTAGAAAAATATATCTTAGGAAGCTTTTGGGTTGAAAAGCCCTTTGTCAGGCTGAAGAAGTACCTGCAGTTGGTGTGTCCTGGATGGAAGAAATAGTAAAGAATCCAGAGGCTGGCCTATAATGCAATGCAGGCAAGAAAGCCAGTCAGTGAAAATGGAAATGGAGGCATCGGGGGGGAGGGACATGCTGGGGTGGAGGAGGATGTAGCAGTGCAGGTAAAAGTGCATTGGTACCTAGGGAGTCAGATGTCTGATTTTTGCCTGCCTGTGGCCAGAGGTGCAGGGCGCCAGAACCCACACTCCCCCTTCAGTTTTCATCCTTTTCTTTTTACCAGTCTGGTTAAAAGGCCCCAGGCTTTGATTTCTCGGAATTTAGGACATTTACTTTCTTTGTAAAAAACTTCTAAAGGTACAATTTAGATTAAGGTTTTAGGCGAAGTCAGGACATTTCGCACGTAGCTCCAAAACAATGAGCTAGATAAGGAGATAGATCCTATCTTCTTCCTGAAACTGGCTAATGGGCAATCTTTACAAACATTCAAACTATTTCATTCAATATGACAAGTAAGATCCGAGCCCAAATTTGGGAGTAGTGACAAGTTGAGTAGGAGGAGCCCACTGACGTCAGCTCGCTCAATAAAATGTGTAACTTCCTGTCCCAATTTGGAGGTGACTTCACTTGCAGAACAACGAAGGAAGAATCGCAAGTATAAGTTCAGATTAGATTGATCGCCTAATCAAGCCTCTCCGTGAACACGAATCTCTTAGTTCACGCTGAAGCCGCGGAGCGCCCGAAAGGGACTGAAGGAAGGGGACGTAGTCCTATCACTGGTGAGCCCAGCTCATTGAATCGTATTGCTGAGGCCAGCCTATTGAACCGTACTACTGAGGCCAACCCATTAAATCGTACTACTGAGGAATGAAACCATATTTTGGTATTTGGCTTCTCGGAATTCTAGGATTGTAAGTATATTATGAAAAATAACAGTATTGATTCAAATTTAACTTTTAGTTGTAATTGTAGTTGTTTTTGTAACACTAATTCTTATAGCATTGTTTGGGAAGGAAGTGCATTCGGAGCATTGTTTCTGATATATGTAATTATTGTGTTTTTAATGTTTGTGGTGTTTCTTAAAGCTAAGCAGTGTTATATACGTAACAAAGAGTTTTAAAATAAAATTGTGTTGTATAAATTAAGTGTGTAATCATTGTGAAATCGTGCAATCAGCTAACTACTCCCCTAGCCAGTGCATCAAAACGAATCAGTAAATTGTGTGGGATTTTCTCTATTCCATAACCCACTAGAGACAAGCAGCTTGAGGTGCAGTTTTCCAGAAACCCCTGCACCTATATCCTTGCAACTTGGCAGGCTTTGTGGCCTCAGCAAGTGCTACCATCCCTGCAATTTTTACCCCACTGTAGCTTCACACACACAAGTGACCCGAGTTTTGCTTTCAGGACTTTGAGGTGTGGTTTTCCAGAAACCCCTGCACCTATCACCTTGAGACATGGAAAGCTTCATGCCTTCAGTATTGTCTACCATCCTTGAAAGTTTCATCTGAATCAGCAAAAAAACAACACAGTTATAGATATTTCATTGATTTTTTTTTTCCTCCATTATACCCTATGGAAGAATCTCTGAGTTGCCAAATCTTTTCCGAATTGATTCAGCCGAATCAAATAAAGGGATTCAGATCTCCAAATGGAATCAGATATATCCAAATTGGCTGAATCCAAATCTGAATCAAATAGTTGCCTATTCATATAGGCATGATTGTGGGATTGCTCATTAGATCCCATCATGCTTTATTGCCTGCAGCTGCTTCTAGCTACAACAGCAGAGACAACAGAGTTACTCTCACTGTGAGGTAATTCTGCAGGGGCAGGAAGGGCGATTACTGGCAGTAACATTACTAGCAGCAATTCTACAGACTGGCTTTCAATGTTGTGAAGGGAGTAGAGGGAGACATGAGGAAAACCCCGAGAGACAGGAGTGGGAGGTGCTTACATCTGGTGCAGCGAGAAGCTGACTCAGTGGGGAGGACTGGTTGCTGAAGTTTTGTAGAACATGCTCCTTCTTGATTGACAGGACGAGCACTGGAGTTGGCAGTTCTGGCCCTGGAGAGTGGCAGAGAGAGAAGCAGCAGTGGATGATGGCAACAGAACCGGAAGTGACTGGAGTTGTCAATTCTCTGTGGAGGACAGTGGAGAAGGGACTGGGCTCCTGGAGCAAAAGGGAGTCAGAAGAGCCCTATCCATGCCTGGGGTGCAGCCTGACAGGGAGCTGACCAACCCAGAGGAGCCAGTGAGACAGAAGCTGGAGATGGTGGAGAAAGCCAAAGGGGAAAAGCAACTATCACCTGGGGACTGTGAGTCTTAAAGGGGCCCTTCCCCTCTTGAAGCATAGGGTTTTTTTGGGGTTTTGTTTTCCTTCTTATGTGTGTGGTTTTTTTTTTGTTTTGTTGTGTTGTTGTTGTTGTTTTTTTCCTGGACTGTTACAAGGGGTGAGGGAGGGGTTCAGAGATTGTCTGTCCCAGTGCGGAGGAGGTTGAAGTAAAAGTTTTCCCTGAGAGAAGGTGTTGACCCCAATACAGGGTTTGGACCCAGGGTCACCACTGGGATGAAAGGGTGGTAGATTAATGTTTTGCAGACTGTGAAAAGATATGGCTATGAACTGACAGACTACCATAAGGGAGGAATTTGATTTGAGTTTGTTCCAGTAGTGGATTTGGTTTTTTTTCTTTTCAGTGAGGATCTCTTGATGGAAACTAAGTGTCCCAAGTAGAAGGGCAAATTGATTGGTGATTACCTCTTTCTGAGACTTAGGATGGACTCATTTAAATTGATTTATGTTCATCCCTGTTTTTGAATTTGACTGAATTGATTTAAATTAAGGGACATAGGTATTGCAAAGGGACTAATATAAACTGTTTGCTGTTCAGGCTTGCCTGAATTTATAGACTGAAGGGAGGCTGGGCTAAGTTGAGACCATTAGAGGTGGCCAACAACCTACTGACCTCAATACCCACTGACCTCAAGGCACAGAGAATCTCCAACTGTTGGGACATGGTAAAGTTGGTGTGTAAGGCGGGGAGGAGTCCCACAAAGACGACTTATCTAGGTGATCCAAGAAGGTCATTACTCAGCCTGCTTCCACCTCCCAATCAGTAACCAGAAACATAAAGGGTGTGGAATGCATGAGAAGGGCATCACAGGCTAGGTATTCACAGAACCTTACAGGTCTCGCCACAGCTCACCCCAACAAGGTGCCAGGTCATTGGGGACCATGGCCATATAGCATCCATACTAGACAAAGGTATCCTTGAATCTCTTTTTTTGCCCACCTATAGAGCAGTTTCCATCATCAAGATTGGAATATACACAACATCAATAACCAGTGGCAATAATACACCAAAAATTAGGAAAGGAAATGAAAAGGTACCATATCAAATTGAAATTACATACATACCTTTAGGTCAACATGAATTCATAAACTCTCTAAACTAAAATTAATCAGGACTGTAGGGATACTCACCATGTTATCACAAATGATGTACTTAGGCTCTTTAGTAATCCCAAATGATCAGAACCTTGATTAAATTTCACCCTAACGTTGCCAGTGGATTGTTAATTGATTTGATACTGAACACAAAACATCTGTACCGTTCAATTGTCTTTACTCCTCAATATGCCATTAGGGTGAAAGAACAGGCGACCCAGCCACAAATCACTGATGTCAGGATCTGTAGCAGCCTAAATACCTCATGATCAGTTTCATCAACAACTCTTAACATAATCCTCATGGATACTTTATATTCAACATTTGTTAGGAAGAGATCATCAACTATAATCAAGTCCATACAGTATAGTCTTTATAATCACACTGATAGTATGAAGGATAAGGGTAAATAAATTCTTTAGATTTTAGAAGTTTTCCACTTACTTTCCCATCATCTTATTACAATAACCTTTCCAGAAATAAGAGATTGGATATACATTAATTGTAAGTCAAAATAGTTTCAAGGTTTCATAGTTGGTAGGGTCGAAAGGGACCTGAGCAGATCATCAAGTCCAACCCCCTGCCATGGGCAGGAGAGAATGCTGGGATCAAACAACCCTGGCAAGGTGATTATCTCACCTCCTTCTGAAGACCCCCATGGTAGGAGCAAGCACCACTTCCCTTGGAAGTTGGTTCCAGATCCCAGCCACCCTGACTGAATGTCTAGTCTGAACCTACTAGGTCCCACAGGGCTCAGTCCTTGGACCGATACTCTTCAATGTCTTCATCGGCGACTTGGACGAGGGAGTGAAGTGTACTCCGTCCAAGTTTGTGGATGACACAAAACTGTGGGGAGAAGTGGACACACTGGAGGGCAGGAAACATACCATTATTAAATACTGCAGAAACTAAGACTGCACGATAAATACTTTGATTTTGTCATCTGGATAGGCAGAATCTCTCAAGTGAGAGAACACAATTATTTAATAAAATAGCCAAATTATGTGTTGTTTTTTTTTTTTTTTTCTGACACTCCCTTGCTACAACAAATCAAATAATGGTAATTTCATCAATATAATAGAATTCCCCTGAATTAAAATATGAATTGACATTTTCTTTGAAATTATAAATAGTTTCTACCTGTCTAATTAATACACTCTTTAGTACACAGGAGAAAATAAACTTTTGTTTTATTAATTGCTAACCATAAAAACAGAAAATTAAAAATTTACCTCCTTTCCTTTAGTGAATCTATAGTATTTCTTGCCAGACTTCTATATTACTTGGATCAGAATCTATATTCTGAGTAAAATACCATATAGTTTCAAAGCTCAAACATATCAACTATGTGGAGATCATTTTGCATTTGTATAGCAATTATAACATTTCTAACTGTTGCCATGCATTTCCTATCATACATTTTACCTTGAACTGCCAGTGAACTAAAAAACAAACAAACAACCACTCTACAGTTTACAGTTTAAATCATGCTCCTAGGATGTGAAAGTCACTATGTGTAACAGGGAGCCAGAGGCTCTCCGTTACTTTAAGGGGCAAGCATCAGTAGAGAGTCCCCAGGTAGAAGGAAACACTGCCCATGATAGGCTGGCTGCAGGTGAATAGGCAGCCAGGGGACAGAGTCTATGAGTGCCTATTGCAGTGCTAGCTGCCATGCAATAGGACAGTAGGGCAGAGCCCTGCTTGGACCTCAGGGGAGCTGCTAAATCCATCAGAGAAGCAGTTGTGAGCTGTCCTGGAGCAAGCCATCAGGTTCTAATTGTAAACCCCTGTGTGTGCTAGAGAACCATCTGACCAAAAGGGCCATGGTTTGGGAGGAATATATGCTCAGGGCCTGAGCCTGGGCAGGCATTCTGGCCCTGCAGCCCACAAAGGGAAGAGCTCTGTAGCAAAATGGCTGTAGCTGAACTAATGCTTTAGGTTCTGCTATGCCTAGGGACAGCAAGTAAGGGACTGAGGGCTTCCAGGGAGTTGAGACCCAGGATGAGGATTTCATTATACAGCCAGTGGGCTTTAAGTTCTGTTACAGCCAAGGGACTTGTATTTTGGTTGGCAGTTAATACCAATGGATCGGTTTGTGACCATCAGGGGAGGAAGGAGTTCATAAAATGCCAGAGGGGCACATAGTGTTTTGAGCTCTCCCAGGGGCAGGGCTCACACATAGGCAGCCAGGAGGGCCAATGCCTGGAGATAGAGACAGCTGAAAGTGGAGAGAGCTAAAGCCAGAGCCCCAGAGGTGGGACACCTAGGGCCAGGGGTCCAAAGCCCATAAGGGGCAATACCCAAGAGATTGGAAACAGAGACCAAGAGGGCAAAATTGGGGCTGGTGCCCATACGCTGAGGCCTAGTGCAGTGGGCCTAGACAAAGGGGCCAGATACAGCACAAAGGTGGGAGGTGAGAAGGCCAAGGCCCCAACAAGAGGATAAAGGCTTGATGTGGCCTAGCGTTGGCTTGAGGTCAGAAGGCTCCACCTAAGTGATGACCAGTACCACCTGCCAGTGTAATAGAGTATAGACGGGTTGGGAGGGCCCTGCCAGATGCTTGAGGGCAAAACGGGGATCATCGGGGTTCAGAAGGAACCCACACACTAGGCAGAGACAAAATCTTACTCTGGGACCTTGGGAGCAGCCTCCCTTTTTCCCAATGAAATACTAACAGCAAGGCATGGCAGATGAAGGAGAAGAATGGAGGGTACCTGGAGAGAAAGAACCAGGCAGAAGTCATAAGGCCACCAGAGGATGTTATGGCCACTTGGTCCTGCTATACTATGCAGTATATAAAGAAGGAAATTTAAAACCATAATTTCATTCTGTCAACCAATAAAAGCCAAATGATAATGAAATAAACATAAATAACTAAAAAAAAAAACTAGATATCTAATAAATATCTTCCAGGAAGAATTCATTGCATTGGAAAGTTTGTCTAAGTCTATCTCAGTCATACATTTGATCTAATAAAAGGTATAACCCAAAAATCCTTACCTCAAGGAAGATATCAGAAACACACAAGTATTTTTACACTTGTGTATGTCCATTTCTTGAATTATCATTCTTGTAGATTCTCAGTGATGTCTTGTACACTGAGGTATAATGAAAATGGACATCACAAAATGACTGAATTCTGGAAGAGACCATAAATGCAAACAGTTCTAACTTAGACTCGGAAGAATATTCTGACATCCCTCCTGGTTCCACTGAATTTTTTTGAAAATCAAGTGTCTCAGCAGCAGAGGTCCATCTACTGAAGTTATGTGAATTCTATCAGATTCACAATTTATGTCCTGCAAATAACTTTGACTTGTTCATTATTTCTTTTTTTTTTTTTAATTTCAACAGGAACACATTCTATGTCCTACATATGCTGTCCCACACTAAAATACTAACTGCAATACTGAAGAATTCTCCCCAAGTGCCAGCTTTATATCACTGGACTAGCATATGTGCATTGTTGTGCCTATGTAAATACACAAATATTTATAAGGAGACTGACAGAAACTCTTCTTTGCGTAGCTGAAGTTAAAACAATGGCTTTGTAACTTCAATGACTCAAGGGCTAGGGACAGAAGTTACACATAAATTAATTTAAGTGAACAAAAACTGGTTTAATCCTGTGGAACAGAATAGGGCTAGGTACAGACATTCAAAAAGCCCCAGACTGAATCAGTTCAGTCTTTACAGGTTAGTCTAAATGTCACAGATTATGTTGCATTAAACAGAAGTGAACAGACATTTACTCTTGATTCAGGAAATTCAGCCACACGCCTACAGTGACTCAAGCCAGAAGCCAGGGGGTTCTAGAACACAGTTCTCTGGCTGTGTGTTTACTTCCACTTCCTGCTGCCTCAGAGGTCT